TTTTTTTTTTTTTTTTTTTTTTTTTTTAATTTAGTAGATTTGTTAATATTATATCATTTCAAAATTTTGTATTAAGTCCTTAGATATTCAAAAACTTACTTGATTGCCCTATTGATGAGTCAACTAATTGATTTACTTTTGAATTTTATTAAAGAATCTTTGAAGTAGCAAGAAATTCTTATAAATTCATTAACTCTTTTTTTATTTATAATTTGGTCCTTCTCATCATAGGTAGAGATGAAGCAACACGAGTGTCAAAGACAAGTTCGAAAAGGGTTGGGTAGGCTCCTAAACTATACCTCAAAAGTCGGGGTTTTGATATGAGTTTCGGCATGCGGCTCTAGAGTTAAGTTCGTATGTGTGAAAGATGAAAATTCACCAAATTTGGTGTCAAACAGATACTCGAAGAACGCTGCACGAAGTTGTATGACTGTTCACCAACAAAATGTCTACTCGAAAAATATTAGAAATGTCTTAAAATATACTATAGAGGGAGGCATGGTGTAAGCTCTCCACGCCACCCCTGGACTTTGTTGCTTAAGTGAGCTATCCTATGACACATACGTGTGTCACAGTGAGTGTGAGCGTTGTGAGACGGGTGTCTTGGGCGATTTCCTTTGAAATGAATTTTTCAAGGACAGTATCGAGCAGCACAGGTGTGCCGATATTGCACCCTAACCCATATGTCAGAGGTTGGATCATACACCCGTTATCGATACGGAGTTCGTAAATGATATGACATGGATACGGAGAGTCCAATGCCTTAATAAAACATAGATGGATGGATGTTTGGATGACATGACCGAGTGAGTTGTGATGGTCGACGACACCCTGTGACTTGGGATGACGTCAAGACACATGGGTTTGTTAATTGGAAACCAAGATGATTTGAGATGCGACATTGTAGTGAGAAACCTTGGCCCCGAGTAGAGGCAAGGTCGAGCCAAATGACTTAGCCTAGTGTAGAGGCAAGTTGGTTGTGTCGCAGATGATTGAACATGCACGCTCAAGCGACATATGTGACTGAACAAACTTGGATTCTGCACAAATGATGTTCGGTGGATAAAGACAAACCTTACTTAAAGTCTGACGAAGCCGTAAAGCCTGGTCATGAGTGTGTCAAGATCAAGACGGTTGAAAATGTACGACCGTGATGTCGGGATATTGAGCCAACAAGTAGAAAATTCTATGACGGGACAATGAATTAACACCAGGGGTTATCAAGATTAAAAAAAGAAAAAAAAAAAAAAAAAATATATATATATATATATATATATATATATATATATA